TAAATAATAATAATTCTTCAAAATTTTTGTGAGATTTTCCGGATTGGTGTTTTGAAGGTCATTGTAAATTTCTTTTGTGTTTTGAAAGCAATTCTAGTCTATTTGAGCGAGATTAAGCTATAATGGTAATTTAAGGCTGATTTAACAATTGTAACAACAAGAGTGAAGAAAATGAGAGTGAGTGAAAGGAGTTTAGAAAACTTTTTTTTTTAATTTTTCACCTCAGTTGAATTGTGCACCCCAACACAAAGCGATGCTTCATTATTTTGCATCTTGTGTTCTACAAGAGTTGAGGTAGAGTAGATGGCAAAAGCGATAGTATCTTCTCTATCGTCTGCACAGATAAAAATTCTGAATTTTAATAGTGATGTAAACATTCATTCACGTAAACTTGTATTTCATTTCACACAACCTAGCAACTTGTAAACAATGTTTTTAACAACAATGGGCTTTTGTATACTATATTTGCTACATTGCATGAAATGTCTCAGAAATTTACATGATTTATAATGTAAACTTATATGATATGTGACGCTCCATTTATGTGCATCATATTGAACAGAAATTTACACTACTTTTTCGAATTGTGTGGGTTCAAATTCCAGCGGCAAAATTTAGGCTTTTTTAATCTGGTTGAGTGTTTGGGCCCCGCTGAGGGTTGAGGGGATTTTTTTTATTTTGATGACGATCTATTAAACTATAAAAACACTCGAAAAAAAATCCCAAAAAGGTAATTCTGAAGAGCGTACACAGCTAAAAAAAAGTAGTGTGAATTTCCGTTACTATGATGCACATAAATGGAGCGTCATAAATCATACAAATTTACATTATAAATCGTGTACATTTATGAGACATGTCATGCAATATTCCATATATTGTATGCAACTTTCCACCTTTGTATGCAACATTTCTTGCAAGCTGCTAGTTTACGTGAAAAGGAAGTTTACATGCATGAATGTTTGCATGCATGGATGTTTACATCACCAGTAAAATTCAGATTTTTTTAGTGTGCAGGTTGATAGTTCCGCTAGACTACGGAAGCTTGAAAATTGAACATAAGTAGAAATTAGTGCGATAGTACTAGTCAAACGCACACTCCTTTATCTAGCACATACAATCATTAAAAATGGATGAGGGGACTTGAGGTTTTTCCTCAAATCCACAGGCAAAAGAGTGACGCGTTTGACTTGCTAAGAGCACTCGCACCAATGCGTTGCTATTCGGGCTGCTAGTTTGTCAACTTTTTTTTGTTTGTTTGTTTATTAATATATTTGATAAGGCTCAACCGAATTAACTTTACAGAGCCGAGGATTCTTGGTCACTATACAATACATCTTAAAACTATAGTCAAAAGGTACAACACAATAAACACTTTATCTTCCGCTATCCAAAAAGCCTCATCCATCAGAACTGGAGCCGCTTCTAGCAGTTTCATTGAATGGCAGTTACGCCAACGAGGGTCAGAGCGCGTCCATTGCAGCAATGGACGCAAAACGTGGTCAGCACTCACACATTCATCACGAAACGGTTGCTTTCCAAAGTCGACGACGCATCGACCGAAAGAACTGCTGATGAAGAACAAAGACGAGGACCACACAATGGTTGCTGCCGAGAAAACAGACGATCGCGTAGCACACATCGAGAGTGGCCTGCTTTTGTCGACAGCCGAGTGAACACTGAGTTTGTCCACTTTAGCCATTGCTATTTTAGCTAGCAACTTGTTTACGCATCGGTCGTTGCTATCACGATTGTGAATTTACGTTTTCAGCTTTCGCACCGAGAGTTGCTAAACTTATCGTCGAAATTCGAACTGAAAATTTGCAGAGTTTCGTGATTGTTTTTTTGACAATATTGATATACCATATATATACATCCATGTACAGAGTACTCAGAATTTTTTTTAAATCACTTGTTGTGATGCTACATGAATGAATTTGAATCTGGGACCAGCATTCATAAAAGTGGTCAATTCATAAAAATGACCGAAAGATCGATCTTCGTATACTCATCTTATAAAAGTTTCGCACCAAAATGCATAAAGGCGTTTTCGGATGCCCATCATTTTAGCTTGTGAATGTATCAAGCTCGGTTGGTTGAATTTAATACAGTAGATCTATTAACTTCAGAAAAAATTGAAAACTTTAAGAAGTCTGATTGAAAGACATGTGGGGAAGTTAAAAGATCTTTAAGAGTAAGTTTCGACAGCTCCAGGGCAATCTAATAGATTTCAGAAAAATTTACTTCAGCGAAGATCAAGAGCTTCAGGGCAGTTCCATTAAAATCAGGAAAATTTAAGCTTAAAAACCTATGAGTAAGTTACGCGAACTTCGGGTGAGTTCTGAAAATGTTTGGGCAGTCCCATGAATATCAGAAAAAAAAAACTGTGATAACTTGAGGGACGTTCCTAAAACTTCCATTTATTTCAGTAAACTAGAGGAAACTATCAAGAAGTTTCGAAAATTGAAGGATAGTAAACAAAATTCAGGGAATGAACTTAAAAACATCAAGAAAGCTACACAGAAATTTGAAGAAATTTAAAGATCTTGGCAGTTCCATTAATTTCTGAACAATTCCAGGAACATCATCAGGAAATCATAAGGGAAGTTTCGTATAATTCAGGAAACAAAAGAGATCTTCAGGAAAGTCTGAGGAATTAAAAGAAGTACTGAGAATTGCAGAAAGTTTCATAGGCAAACTGCGGGAACAAAAGGAAAGTTCCACAATTTTTTTTGGAAATTTTTGTGAACTTCAGGATTTTTAAGAGGTTCCAAAATCTTCAGGAAACTGCAGGAACTTTTAAGAAAATTTGAGAAATTCAGGGATATCCAGAGAACTTTAGGGAAGTCAAAATAATTTCAGTGATGTGGAGACAATTTGAGGAAATTTGACATTTTTAAGAACTTCCAAGTAGCTCAAAGAAGTTAAACTAGAGAGCTTAAGAGAATTTCAGAGATATTAACGGCACTTCCAATAACTTCATAACTTCGAAAAATTAAAGTAATTCCAGACTTTTAGGAAAGTTCGGAGATTTGTATGAGCAAGTTCCGGTCAATTAAATAAAATTCAGAAAAACTTCCAGACTTTTTATGACAGTTCTATTTAGTTCAGAGTAGTACCAAGAACTTCAATAGAGTTGAGAGTACTTCAGGAATGAAAAAAATAAATAAACTAATTTTATGGAAATTGAAGAATGTTTAAGAAAATCCAAGAAACTCAGGGAATTTCCGAAATTTCATCAAAGTAGCAAGACCTTTATTTAAATTTCAGAAACATAAGAGATCTTACATGAGCATAAGGAATATGTGAAATCATTTTAAGGAAGTTCCATGGTATTCAATGCAGTTTAAAGAACTGCAAAAATATGCAGGAACTTCAGTGACGATCAGAATATGTTCAAGAAAATCGTGAGATCTTTTAAAATGTTCAGAAATCTTCAAAAACGTCTAGAGACCTTTAGACATATATATAGATTTTTTTGTAGTTTAATTATTAGTATTTTGAGAAGTTTCCGGATGATTATAGATCTTCATATCAGTTTCATTTATTTAAGGAAAATTTCAGGATTTTTCAATTATGGGATTATGGGATATTTCAATAATAAATTAAATCCAGTATGATTAAAATTTCCGGAACAATAGAAAAATTATTGAACTTTAGGAAAGATTCAAAACATCAGGGAACCCTAATAAAAATAACCATAAAAGAGAGCTTAACAACGTGTTCGGGGTATCGTTCAAGCCATTTGTGGGATAGTTTACCCATCCAGGGTACAGCTCGTTTATGGTATTTTTTATTAGGGAAGTCCAAATAAAATTAGGATTTTTACGCGAATTGACTAGTTTTGTGAATATTCAAAATCTTCCAGAGAACCACGCCGCTACCTGATTGCATATGCTAGTCCCAGATCCTAATTCATACCTGTAGCTTCAGAATAAGTGAATCGTGAAGCTCTTGAAACTTTTTTTTTATCACTTTTACGCATGGTCCGGGCCTCCCGAAAAACCGGGTTGTGGCCAGCAGTGTTCGTATGCTGGTCCCATATCCAAATTCATTAATGTAGCATCAAAATAAGTGATTTAAAAAAATACGGAGCTCTAGGTTCTTTTCTACGAATTGGCCCCTTTACAAATGTTCCATGGCCACCAGAGTACACATACAGGTTTCAAATCCAAATTCATACATGCAGCATAACAACAAGTTGATTAAAAAATCTAGATCCTTTTTACTAACTTTCCACATTAACGGATGTTCCGGGTCTTCCAGAGGAATGTTTTGCTGTCGATTGGGTCCACATTTTTCTCACAAATCCAAATTAAATCAAATGAAAAACAAAACAAACATTTCATATATAGCAACGCTTGGGTCGGTTGCTATCGCGCTGCTATATTTGTCAACCCGCTGTTCTCCGAAAGGAAGATTGTTATTTCCCGCACTTGAATAGGAACCCCCAGTGTGGTTACTGCGTTATGGTAGAGGTTGCTAAAATAGCTTTCGCAACGCATTGGTGCGGGTGTTCTAATATACTATCTGCGGCTGTGGAATTGTTTTAGAGACGTTTATCACTACCTAACGCCAACTATTGTGTTGCTCCTCTCGTCATGACCAACGTAGACCTCCTTAATTATCAACGTTTCTATTTTTTTCACAGATATTCTTCTATAGCTGCCATTCTTGATTGGGATATGTAATATGGTGCGATCGAAACGAACTTTTTGTGAACTTTTAGTGAAAATTTATGCTCTTAAAGACCTTCCAAAAAGTGTCAAAACACTGCGTTTAATTTTGCACGGAGTTCAAAATCTCAAAAAGATCTTTTGCCCTACCATTCTCTAAATTAGATCACATGGACTTTGATAAAATTTGGTAAATGCAGCAAAGTAATTTGCACCTTAACTTTGCATCGATTTAGTCCCGCATAATTTCCCACACTCCCTATTTGTTCAGCAATGGATTATGTTGCAATGTAATAATTTTCGTTTATTTTTTACCTTTACTTTCAGAGATCCATACGAGTGATCACGAAGTATTCACCCTAGAACACATGCTGCCAATCCTTGGCCTTGAGGGTATGGTCTTCAATGGTATTCCCAAGCATCCAACGTTTAATCCCTCTCCACAATATAAACCATCGGACTTCCACTATCAGCCCCAGAAATACAAGGAAGAAACACCTGTTCTGTTCGGCTTCAAGCCAACCGAAGCCGAACCAGTTCAGTCTCTTCCATCCCCGTCACCGTCAAGCTACCAAGTACCAGCCGTCAACACGGAAGACCAGCTGTTAAAGATAGGTCACCAGGCGCTCAGCAAACTGGAAATACCTGGATCATCAGCTCAACCACCGTACTCGTCAGTGACCCAGGAGAAACCAAGTTTCACCAAATCTGAACAATTCCCAACCAAGTTCAACTTCCAACATGGTCAGTCCTACAAAGCCGTTCCAATAGGAGGCGGTCATCCAGGTTTTGGACCAGGCACTTTTGTTGGCATGCACAATGAAATTGTTAAGTATCACAATAAGCCACAGTTCTATCCATCCAAGCCATCGTCGTACAAATGGTCGGAACATCCGAAGAAGCCACAAATGGCCAGTCCTCTATCAATATCCACCAATTTCTACTATCCAAAGACCTTATCTGGCAATGTTGAAGATGGTCACCAGCAGCAACAACAGCCGTTGACGTACTACCAACACCAACAGCAGCCCACTGCTCCTCAAGTTCAAACCCATGTTAGCTTCTACATCCCGAAGGAAATTGAACCACTCCCTCATCCTCAACCAGTGTCTCAGCAACACGAAGCGCCTCAACAAATGCATCAACCTTCGCTGCCGGTGAACACGGTCCAAAATGGGGAACACATTGAATTCGTTGTCCCGAAACAGCCATCCCACGAGGAACCTCCAAAAACCTATTACAAGCAAAAATTCTACAAACAACAGAACGGTGGTCAACAGGGCACCTATTACATCCACAAGCAATTTGAGTACTCTGGGAAGCCACACGCTAACGAAAACAACGTTGTCTCCGAATACCACGGATCCCACGGATCCCACAACCACTCCAATGTAGAAGTCCAACATCTTCCCGAGCCACTCCCCTACTCGGCTCCTCAGTACCTTCCCCTGCAGCAGACCTATCAGCAACAGCAACAGCAACAGCAGCAGCCGCCGCCAGCTCTTACCCTACATCAGACTCATCCGCAGCCACAGTCGTTCCACCATCCCATTTCCACCTCTGCCCATCAGAACCACTGGAAACTGGGTCGAAGGAACCATCATCACGAACATGTGAAACCGGTTGAGGAGTCCGACGATGAATCCGAACAGCAAGACAACTCGCACGCACCATCAGTGCAATCGATCAAAACGTTGAAACCGGCGGAAAGAGCTACGACGGAAGTGAAGGTTGAAATTGAGCACAGGGTGGATGAAAAGCAGAAACAACAGCAGCAGAAGCAGCAGCAGCAAAAGCAACAGCAACAGCTTCAACAACAGAAACAACAACAACAGCAGCAACAGCAGCAACCGAAGGGTACTCAAATCAGTGAAAGTACGACCATTAGGCCTACGACGACGAGAGCTGGCAGGCAGGGGTGGTGAGTATAAGATTCCGGATTGTAAGGGTAAACTTAGACCAATTTAGAATATGGCAACAACAATTCTGAAGTTAACTTTTCAAGCAAATATTTCATACAGTTTATAATGAAAACTTAAGGATCACATCTTTTGCACGCATATGATGATGAATTAGAGAAGCATGCGGATCCTGATCGAGCAGATCAGTGTAGAGTTTTTTGTTTTAGTTGACTGCTCTGAATAAGTACGTCACGAATTTAGCCAAATTTAGCCTAGCTTATTAAAAAAAATCAAACAAAATTATGGTTGCATTAAATGTTCTGTTCTCATCTTAATTATGACAAAATCGAAAAAATGGGAATTGCGTAAAAACTGTACTGATAATGGGACCTACTTCATTGTTTATCAAAAGTGGTGGAGTAGAACGATATATACTGAAAAAAAACAAGGAGGGAATGACAAAGCATCAACGTAGGTATACAGTACGAAAAAGTAGTGTAAGTTTTTGTTCAATATGATGTACATAAATTGGGCGTCACATATCATATACGTTCACATTATAAATCGTGTAAAGTTCTGAGACATTTCATGAAATGTTGCAAATATTGTTTACAAAAGCATATCTTTGTTAACAACATTGCTTATTTGCGTGAAATTAAATACAAGTTTACGTGAATAATGTTTACATCACAATAAACTTTTAGACTTTTTTGCTGTGTACAGTAGAGCGGTGTTTCGTCGTAATCACCCATTTCCATTATATACCGTATGCGTGATAATGTTTGCACCATCGTACAAATAAGGTTTCACCTGTGCCTACAATGCCTTGGTTTTCTTTGCATGCATGCACGTAACGGTAAGAAAAAAATACTCAAATTTAAGTTAAAAAAAAACTCATCGTTGGGTTCTATCATTTGACGTCCGCCGTTGAGTGAATCAGAAAAGCGGCGTTGGTTAAAATTTACTCAACTATTGAGTAATAATAAATGAACTCAAATATAAGTTTATTTTCATTGAGGTTGCTCCTATGCGCCTTTAACTATATCATTTTCACAAGCGTTGCTAGACGAGTGGTCAACACACGGGCCCCGTAATCTCAACGTCCATGGTTCGGTTCCAGTCTGCTCCGCTTTATTATTTTTTTGTCAACTTGGTCAACGTGGATTCATGATCAGGATTACTCAAAATTGAGTTTTCTTCTTTAACTTAATTTTACCTTGCCCCACGGAAGCCACGTGATGAGTGAAAGGAACTCAATTTTGGGTACTTTTTTCTTACCGTGTATAGCTCGTACCGTAGTAGGCTGTGTTGAAGAAAAAGATTTACTTAGTTTGACAGTTGCACCATGTGGTGAATATAATCAACCACGCATGCGCTGGTGTTCAATTGACAACGTCATCCAATGTGATGCTTCACCACTACCGTTGTCCAGTAGCACTCTTTTGGATGGTATGGATTATTTGTGCCTTGGCCAAAGGAATATTGTGCGCAATCCGCTCGATCGCATTCTCGATCTGGTTTTTTGTTTGCCTGATTGTGAGGCTAATGTGAATAGCTGCTCAACTCCATTGCTACCCGTTGACTCTCACCACCCCCCGCTTGAGATCTCTCTACCAGCGCTTGTGGTGTGTGACGAACCTATTGAAAGACATGAGGGGCGACCTCTAAACTTTCGAATGACTGATTTTGCGGCCCTTTCGAACTTTTTGCTAAACGTTGACTGGAATGCGATATCTACTATCATATATGTCGATGAAATGGCGGAAATTTTTTGTTCCATTTTGAACGATTGGCTTGTTTCGAATGTTCCACGAATTCGGCCATCAGTTTCGCCTACCTGGAGTACTCTCCGTTTACGGGATTTAAAACGCACTCGAAATGCTTGTCAACGGAAACTACGTCGTCAACGAACGCCTGGCAACAAACGAAGTTTTCAACAAGCCAGCAATGCGTACCGGTTTTTGAATGCCACTCTCTACAAATCTTACGTATTGCGTGTGCAAATTGGTCTGAGAATAAATCCACGTGGTTTTTGGTGCTTTGTTAACTCCAAACGGAAAAGTGCAGTGATCCCAACGAATGTCTACCTGAACGAAACGACTGCAGCGTCAGCTACAGAGTCATGCCAGTTGTTCGCCAAGCATTTTGCATCCGTATTCGCGACGAATCCCGCCTCAAACTTGGAAATCGATAAAGCCACCAGTGATGTTCCCGCTGATTTTGTTGAGTTTGGACTATTTGCTGTAAATCCAGAAATAGTTTCATTGGCTGCAAATAAACTGAAACGCTCGTTTGTCCCTGGTCCTGATGGTTTGCCTGCAGTTATAATATGCCTTTGTATTGCCGCTTTAGCACAACCGTTGTGTGATATCTTCAATCGCTCACTTCAGCAAGCAAAATTCCCTCGCATTTGGAAGCAATCGTTTATGACACCCATTTTCAAATGTGGTGATCGTTACAATGTTGTCAACTATCGGGAAATCACGAGTCTCTCAGCTGTCTCAAAATTGTTTGAGATTATAGTGGGTGGAGTTATTCTCGATGCCACAAAAAGCTACATATCCACTGATCAACACGGATTCATGCCCGAGCGATTGTTTACCACCAATTTATTGAATTTTACGTCGAAGTGCATAAAAAGTATGGAGGAAAAAGCGCAAGTCGATGTAATTTATACCGACCTGAAGGCGGCGTTCGATGAAATTGATCATAACATATTGCTACACAAGTTATCTCGTCTGCGAGTTTCTATGCAATTGGTTTTTTGGTTGGAATCCTACCTTACAGAGCGTGTACTTCGAGTGAAGGTTGAGGGTTTTGTATCTTTGCCGTTTTCAAACAAGTCTGGTGTTCCACAAGGTAGTAATCTCGGACTGTTGCTGTTTATTCTGTTCTTCAACGATGCTGCTTTGGTTTTGGGCGAAGGATTCAAACTGGTCTATGCAGATGATTTAAAGCTGTACATTGTGGTGCGCACACAAGAAGATTGTTGGCTTCTGCAAAACTCGCTGACTTTGTTTGTCGATTGGTGCCAGAGAAACAAACTGACTATTAGTGTGGAAAAATGTCAGATAATCACGTTTCACCGCATGGTACATCCAATTTTGTTTGACTATCATATCGACGGCGATACTCTTACCAGAGTTACCAGTGTGACTGATCTAGGGGTTCAACTAGACACAAAAATGACTTTTGATTTACACCGTTCAGCGCTCATATCGAAAGCCACGCGACAGTTGGGCTTTATTTCCAAAGTTGCGAAGGATTTTTCGGATCCACATTGTTGGAAGTCATTGTACTGTGCACTTGTCCGTCCAATTTTGGAAAATGTGTCCGTTGTTTGGCATCCTCACCATGTCACGTGGTGCCTAAGGATCGAACGGGTTCAGAAACGGTTCATTCGTCTGGCACAGAGAAACTTGCCGTGGAGTGATCCTGACCATTTGCCGCCGTATCCTGATAGATGCCGACTGTTGGGCTTAGACACACTGGAACAACGACGGAAAGTACAGCAATCGTTGCTTATTGCTAAGCTGTTGAATGGTGAAACTGATGCCCCCGACCTGCTTGCGATGTTGAACTTTCGTGTGCCGAGCAGATCTCTTCGGAATACAACGCTACTGCAACCAAGTTTTCACCGAACCATGTTTGGGAACATCGAACCAATCTCAGCGTGTATTCGTGCGTTTACGGCTGTCGAAGAGTTTTTCGAGTTCAATGAACCAACCGATCGTTTTGCAAATCGGATTAGGTCTGTGTTAAATTAGCTCTAATTTATTCATTAAAGGGTGATACGGTCAAAATTTGGTCAATATCAACTTGATGTATTTCTTTCAATTTTGCATTTAAAAAACCTGAACACCCCTCATTTTGAAGGTGTGTGTGTGTAGAATGTTGCTCCTATTTTGATTTTGGAATTCACTCTTCAGTTGTCAAAATGCCGTCCAAGCAAGAAGAGCAGCGTATCAAAATTTTGCTCGCGCATCGCGAAAATCCGAGCTACTCGCACGCAAAGTTGGCAAAATCGCTAAAAGTTGCCAAATCAACCGTTACAAATGTAATTAAAGTGTTTGGGGAACGTTTGTCGACAGCCAGGAAGTCTGGATCGGGGGGAAATCGAAAACCGGAAGCCGCTGAGACGACAAAGAGAGTTGCCGGTAGTTTCAAGCGAAACCCTAACCTCTCTCTCCGAGATGCCGCAAATAAGCTGGGTGTATCGTCTACAACCGTGCATCGAGCCAAAAAACGAGCCGGACTATCGACTTACAAGAAGGTAGTGACTCCAAATCGCGATGATAAACAAAATACGACGGCCAAAGCGCGATCCCGGAGGCTGTACACGACGATGCTGACGAAGTTTGACTGCGTGGTAATGGACGACGAAACCTACGTCAAAGCCGACTACAAGCAGCTTCCGGGACAGGAGTTTTATACGGCAAAAGGAAGGGGAAAGGTAGCAGATGTTTTCAAGCACATGAAACTGTCAAAGTTCGCAAAGAAATATCTGGTTTGGCAAGCCATCTGTACCTGTGGCTTGAAAAGCAGCATTTTCATAGCTTCCGGGACTGTCAACCAAGAAATTTACGTGAAAGAGTGTTTGAATAAACGTCTGCTGCCTTTCCTGAAGAAACACGGTTGTTCCGTACTGTTTTGGCCGGATTTGGCATCTTGCCATTACGGTAAAAAGGCCATGGAGTGGTACGCCGCCAACAACGTGCAGGTGGTTCCCAAGGACAAGAACCCTCCCAACACGCCAGAGCTCCGCCCAATTGAGAAATACTGGGCTATTGTCAAGCGGAACCTAAAGAAGACCAAAAAAAACTGCTAAGGGCGAGCAGCAGTTCAAGGCAAACTGGCTTTCTGCGGCGAAGAAGGTGGACAAGGTGGCTGTACAAAATCTGATGGCAGGGGTCAAGCGTAAGGCCCGGCAATTCGGATTTGTAAAAGCGGAAGCCTAACTGAATATTTTTCCTGAATTTTATACTAATTGAACTTGAAAAAGAAATTTAATTTGATTTTTTGAATAAACGATTTCACCGATTTACACGCGTTTTCCCTTGACCAAATTTTGACCGTATCACCCTTTAAGACTAAATTGTCAGATGAATTATTTTAAATACAAATACAAATACAAATAACTGAAATAAGTCGTATATAAGGTTTCCAAGACCAATTTATAACAAGGGTGCTACTAGGGAAGATGCCCGAAACTTCTCACGAAACATTTTAGAAGAGCATCATGCCCTTTATTAGGCACTCAGCGATGAGTAAATTTGCCTCATGTTTTTCAAGGTCTTCGAAGTTTTTTTTTAAGGTTTGTGCTGGAAAAACTTCACAAATATGGAAAAAGTAATGATTGGATTAACTCAGTCTATTGGTACTACTCCTAGACTGGTATTTTTTTTTGTCATTTGTCCTCATTTTCCGGCAGATTTTCTAGGTTTTCCACAGGAAATCACAAGACACATTTACTTCATGACTCAGTTCCTGCACTTTTGGCGATTATGAGTGAACTAAACTCAAATTTCGGTCGTTCTCATTCGCCGTGTGCAACTACAAAAGCATTCCGCACCGAGTTTGTCTTTTCAGCTTCAGAAACCCTTTTGAAATGTCACGCCAGACTTTGCCAACGATGATGTAACCGACTAATATTTTTCCTTTCTTCATCCACTAATTGGCGGAAAGTGAAATCAACTTCACCGTCGATATATTTAAGCAAATCCCATCCACATCCAATAAAACCATATTCTTCTTATTTTCCGACATTTCTCCGTCAAAACAGATTTCCAACTCCACAAAATCGCACGATGACACGAGGAAAGCAAATGCATGTCGAAAGTGACTCCACTTATGGCCCTCGGATCGAATGATGGAAGGAAGAAGGAAAACATACAAACTGGATGGAGAAGATGATGCCTTCACAGCACAGAGATGAAGGAAGAGAAGGTATCAACAACCACCACCCGGCAGCACCTCTGGGGGCAATTCAATAACAACAACAAATGCGTCGAACTTTGGAAGAAAACGACAACACGCCGAAGAAGCACAAACGATCCGGAAATTTCGGAGTTTTTAATTGTGGCTTTTTATTTATGTGTTACCGTGCCTGGGAGGTTAGGCTTGTTGTTGCTGGGGTTTTGTTATTTATGCTATTCAAGCAGATGTTATTGTTTGAAATTGTTAAGGTTCCTAAAGTTATACGATATATTATGAAGGTAGCTGTTTTCTTTCTATTTGGATAAGCTTTGTTGGTCACAGATAGTGTGTATTAATCATGTGTTGAATGTGGGGATCGAGAAAATTAGCTGAATGTGAAACAATCGTGAGTGTGTGACTGAAAGTGAGAGTTTTGGGCGGTGATTGACCTATTCCTACGGTGCCCAATCATAGATTTGACGAGAAAGTTTGTTACGTGTAAGGATTTCTTTCACTCTTTTTGTAGCTCCAAATGAATCTGAAAAGTGTTGAATCTTCTGTTTCCTTATATTTTTCTTCGCGATGGATTAGTAATTTATAGATTTGCTCATCTTCGATTGAATTCAAATTGGATGTGGAGATCGCTCCCCTCGAGAGCACGACCTTTGATGTTAGATTGTAAGATCGTACATGAATAGAATAAAATAAAACTAAATGGAAATCGAACCAAAATGTTGTAATTTCATGCCGAATAATTGCCTCCAGATGTGGGAAAATAACAGCATCGAATCAACGAACTCTTCGAACGATGGTATCTAGCTGAGGCATGCCTACGTGCCGTTCGTGATCAGCACGTAAATAACTCTACCAGGGTTTTTTGGGTTCTGACCCAAGTACAACGAGTACGTCAAGGGTTTCAACGAGAACTACTAAGTGCCATTGACCTTGAAATGATGCTGTTAAATTGTTGTCAGATGATTTTATCGTTATTCTTAGCTGATGCTTGATGTATCTAGATAACTGCCGACTCATCATCGGTTTTCGTGAGCTCTACGACGGTTGTTCACGTTCAAAACATGCCCAAAGACAAGAAGCCAACAAGAATGGAAATGGTATGTGAGGAAAAAAGCTGTGCTCATCAATCATAGAAATGAAGGCGTGCATTTGCATGACGAGTGGAATGTTGATTGAAGAATGAAACTCTCGAAAAAGGAATTGGAAGATTTTGCAAACCAAGCAGAATTAGCATATTTTTTTCCGATTGTACGCAAAATGGATTAAATATCAATTACAGATCACAAAGCATCAAGAAAACCGCAGAATTGCATTGCTCCATCATGCAATTTGCTTATGATGACGCATTCAGGGAAGATCCGCTTGGAAGTATGGCAATTTGTAAATTAATACCATAATTCTCTCAACTTTTCGCAGATTTTATCCACCTAAGGTTTTCTGATCTTTCTAGACGTTTCTTACACCAACTGCTGAATAGTTTTATATTCGTACATCCGTAGATCAAATGTACGTATGGATTTATTACATCCCCTGGATATGTTTCTTACAAGAAATGTAATTCATTTATTTATATATTTACTAACTAACATCATCTGACACCACGGTCTACATGATAAAAAAAAAACTTACATAACTAACAATCTATAATAAGCTACGGTTACACAAACGAAATTTAAACGATGCACAACTAAATCGGCTAAGTCACACAAATGGAAAACATAGTTGAAAATGTTACATATAGCTCAAACTGTAAACTGTCCGAAAGAAGACGAAGGAAGTTCGTGGAGCGAAGAACTCTCACAGTCACGGTTACATTTAGTTTTGCAGAAATATTGGGGGCGTCAATTGTTCCGCAGAGTAATTTTCCAACAAACACAGCAGGGTTGCTTCCACTCACTTGCTATAAAAAAGTATTTTTCGGAATTATGCAATCATTAGATGTTATAATGATATGTTGTACTAGTAAGTAACAAAAAGAGGGTGTAAAATATGTGTTTGACTCATAAAACCTGTCAATTTCGCTTTCAGAGCGTCACAATCAGCGATCTTATGATTCGTGAGCGTTCACTCAGAGTGAGCGCTCACGAGTCGTTAAATCGCTGATTGTGACGCACTGAAAGCAATATTGACCGATTTTATGTGTCAAACATATACTTCATGACCTCTTCTTGTAACTTACAAGTACTAATAAGCATTATACTATTACATAATTCCATAATTCCGAAAACCATTTTTTTTTATAGCAAGTGACTGGAAGTAACCCTGAAACACAGCACGCATATTTTCTCTCCTTTTTTCCAGTGCGTCCATGTAGACTATGGCTTATATCGACAGCGAGCATACATAAGGGTGTATACGCGATGACTTATTATCTTCATCAATTTTCTCTTTGCATTCCTGCAGCTAAGCGAAACAATTTTCTAGAATTTGTTCCATGTAGAGCTGTAACAGGTTGTATTGGCTATCAAAAGTAACAGCAAACGCACCGAGAAAATCTAGTGAGTTATTAATAAAAGAGAAAATCGATCATCGCGTTTACGCCCTTATGCATGCTCACTTTCGATATCATGTAATATTGGCTGTCTTGCAATGAGCACTCAGACACCTAGTTTTAACTGGAAATCCTATGTCTGAGTGCTCATTGCAAGACAGCCTATATTACATGATATAAGCCATAGTCTGTACGGGGTATTAGGTATTCGATCAAATGTAAGGAACACAAGTTACTAATAAATTAAGTCAAAGATGTCTTATGATTATGCTCAAGCAACTGTTCAGCAGGCAACATTGGTATGTCTGGCGCGTAGAATAGAGCACACAAATCATGGCTACTATGTAAATATAAAAATTAGTACAATTGTGGGCCTTTGATTGCCCAGAAGTTAAAGCACATTATTAGCAAGTAATAACTGTGCAAGTACTTCCAACTTGAACTTAATGAATAGCGCTTTCTGCACCGACACATGGTATGTTGTTTCCATCTCAGTAGCATTCGCATCCAGCGATCATTGACGAAATCAACAATTTCACCCTAGGTTGGGCTCGCACTTCCATTTTTGAACTCAAAACAAACGTTGCTCTTGACGTCAACTCCAAACATCATCAAATTTTAATTGTTTCAAACAAAAACATGATAATCATCGATCGAGCTGCAGCCAGTGAACGATGCACCCAGGACAATAGCCTCTACCGGCAAAACATGTTTTTATATCTCTTAACGTTATGATCAGTTTCGTGTCATCAGCAAAGTTGTTCGAATTGACAAGATCCGTTCAGTAGTAAACAGTTCAAAGGGTGTTACGATCAAAATTTGGTCAAACAAGAATGCGTGTAAATTGATTAAATTTTTGTTTGCCGCAGAACACAACTTTGCCTTAAACTATTTCTCGCTAGCAACAGTTTTTTGGGTCTTCTTCAGGTTCCGCTTGACGATGGCCCAATATTTTTCGATTGGGCGTGTTGGGAGGGTTATTGTGTTTGGGCACAGCCTGCACGTTGTTGGTGGCATACCACTCCATGGTATTTTTTCCGTAATGGCAGGATGCAAAATCCGGCCAAAACAGCACAGAACAATCGTTTTGCTTCAGGAAAGGCAGGAGATGTTTTTACAGACACTCGTTCACATAAATTTCCTGGTTCACGGTACCAGTTGCAATGAAAATGTCACTTTTCAAGCCACAGGTACAGAAATCCTGACAAACCAGATATTTCTTAGCAAACTTCGACAGTTTCATATGCTTGAAAATGTTTACCACCTTTCCTCTTCTGGCTTCCGTACAAAACTCCTGTACAGAAAGCTGTTTGAAGTCTGCCTTGCGTGCGAGTAGTTCGGATTTTCGCGATGCGCGTGCAAAATTTTGATGCATTTTTTCTCTTGCTTGAACGCCAAAACTTAAGAGCAAATGTCAAAATCAAAATAGAAGCATCATTCTACACGCACACACCTACAAAATGAGGGGTGTTCAAAGAAATGCGTCAAGTTTAAGTCGTCCAAGTTTTGATCGTAACATCCTTTAGCTGGGAGTTAACTCACTATTTGGCGCAAGAATACAAATAAAGTTCATCTAGTAATAACGCAGCATCGAAACCGGATAGAAGTTTCCTGCCATCAGTAAAGTTGTTCAAATGGGCACCCCGTATTTCGATCGACCTCGGTGGATACCAAGTACGACAGAAGGACATTCTCCGCTCGGTGGCCACATGTACGTGGACCGATCGTACAAGCCAGCAGTTTTCCCAGCTCGTCGTGGAACGAGTGCTAGAAGCGAGCTCGACGATCACCCGATTGTATCCATCATCGCCAGCAGCATCAACCCCTCAGAAGCTTGATCCCATCGTCGCCGGCCGGCCTCCTCACACTACACACCCACATCACACACCGTAAGTAAAAAAAAATTGTCAAATTTATTGATTTATCACGTTTAACGGTCATTGGAAAATTTTACCGACTTGATCTGAAGTTCAAAACCCGGTAAAACTCTACTGACTTTAGCTTTTTTTTCTCAAAAAATGACAATTTTCTTATTCAAATATATCGAGTTAAAAAAAATGATACCTCTGCCATTCAGCAAATATAAAACCAAATGTCTTCTTTCTATTACTTTCAATAGGTTTGAAATTGACTTGCGCGTTTTAAAGTTATATAAGCTTGAAAAATACTTGTTTCTTACCTTAAAATGGCTATATCTTTTGATTCAGCAGTCCAAACGTCATAATTAGGTGATCAAAGTTCTAAAAGTGTTTTGAAGAACACTTATCTCTAAATACAGAGCAAAAAAGGTTATGGTCAAAAAACTGTTTTTATTTCATGAATCATCCTAACATTCCATTGTTTCAGTTCGTAGAATGCGTAGATGATGAGATAAAAATTTGAAATTTTGGACAAAGTTGCTTGGTTTTGCATTCTCTACAACTTTGAAGAAGAAAAAAAATCCCAAAAATTTCCCTGAAGAGTTAGATTTTTGAAGTCACCCTGAAACCCCCCGCTGAAACAAGTCGATTTTGTGGAAAACCCAATTTTCATATATTTTTCCGCTCTGGATCACTGTGCATTTGTTATTAAGTATGTTATAGGGCCATATAGACATATTTAAAAAAAATTATGTATTTACACCAAAAATTTTGATTTTTTTAAAAGTATGTCATTCGATTACTTATAGGTTGAAACGGATAATGTTATTAAAATCAAGTCGATAGGTTGTATCGTTGTCGAGAAATCGTTAAAAATGTACCGTGTAAATCGTGGAAAACTGTGTAAAAAAACCGTGTACCAAAAGACTTCAGTGTATATTGCAACAAAGCAAGCAAGCATTACATCATTATCCTTCTACCACTCCGATCGAGCTACGTTACAGAGCGAGTTTGTCATGGTATTCGTAGCAACCGTTTTGAATCTATCGTTGGTTGCTTTATGTGTTTGGATTAACTGCTTATGATTATGCCCAATCAACTGTTCAGCAGGCAACATTGGTGTTCCTGTCCACTATACAGCTGCTTGATCATGCCATAAGACGATCAATCTCTTGAAAATTTATTATTATTCAATTTGACGTATGGCTGACAAACGTTATTCCACAGAGTTGTAGCTGAGAAAAGTAATCCTTTTTTGCTATTTTATTTAATGCATTCCGCTAACAACCCAGTTTCATTACTTCATTTTCGACATTGTTTCTTCTAGACTAGAAAATTAAGAAAAGTAGACATTAATAAAAATAAAAAATAACCTCGAAACTGCTTGACAAAATACTGGAGTATATAAAAAACACCCAACATTCCTGGAGGAATAATTCTATGGAATAGGCATGGCTTCAAACTACCGACGCTGTTTCAAGTATTGAGTAGAAAAGAGCTTTCAAGCAGTATGGATTGATGCAGCTCACTACTTGACTAGCCTATTGGTCCCAAGCCAATCGACTAACGTACCCCATTCTAGTATAAATTCCAGTACTACACTATGTTTGTTTTGTTTCGCTATGAAAGTTTGACAGATAAAATGAGGGGCTAGTGGATTTTCCTATGTTTCGAGGGCTGCATCGATTAGCTTGGGACCGAAGAAAGTAACCAGAGCTGAGCCAAAAAGTTGAGCTCGTTTCTTCGGGACCTTCTGGTCTTAGAGTTACCTCTAGGGTTTTATCGTCTGATGTCGGTTTGAACGTCTCATTATTATTATTATTTTTTTTTTTTACAAAATGGGGTTTTAAGCTGCTTTGAATCAAATGAAACGGCATCAACGAGAAGGCCATGAATCATAGCCGTAGAAACACCATCACCAAAGCGTCCGAGACACACATCTTGGGGTGATATTTTAGATGCTGCTGAAATAAGCGACAGTGAGATTATTCTGTAAAGATGTCAGCATATGTAAAGCATTACTTTTATGCTGTGAGTAATTCTGAAAAAAAGATGCTAGGGTAAGTCAGCCGGCTATGACATATGTTCCAGTGATGACACAATCACTGTATTGGAAGTTATTCTATGAACATTTCAGTATATGATGAGCATTTAGCGGAACCATGTTGAAAATGGTTATTTTAGAAAAAAACGCAGCTTTGGAATTTCAGGTTGAATTATGTATAAGTTAAATTTAACATTAGTTCTCATGAGTTGTTTCATAAGTATTTGAGGTTTTTTTTTTTTTTATTTTGTTTTCCGTCTTTGAGGACTAAGGACGTTTGAGGACTAACGACGTTACGCCATCTGGACCGAAATTGTGTGCGAAACAAATCGGCAATACCCACGATAGAGTCCACTTCCACTACACCGTTCGTCATACTTGAGGGTAGTCCGCTTTCCTTACCTTGGCCATTCACATGACGCCAACAGCTCTTAGGATTTGATTTCAGACGACGCTGAAGCTGATTTTAGGGTGGGTATGGTACAGTGGTTGTTGTGTCGCGTGTTCGCTTTAGAATAACATGCTTTCGTGGAATAGGTTCGGTATTAGCTGTGCTTTTCAATTTTTTCAATCGCTTAAGCTCTGAATTCGACCAGACGGTTTAACTGGTTCGTGGCTGGTTCGTTTAGGTACGAATTGATGGATGGCGTACAATAGAATGTTGGATGTCGTCGATGCGGCGAGGTAAGAATCACAGTCACGCAGTGCCTCTTCCAAGTCGACATTTGAGAGAAAATCGTTTATTTAGCTGAAGTTGGCTTCGCTAAAGCTATAGAAGACGCTCTCTATAGTGTCTTTGAAATTACGATGATCGTTGAGCTTTATGCTCACCACACTAAACGAAAATCAATTATTTTATTCATGTGTTTCACTTATACATTTTTGCCAAAACATCAGCCTTATACATTCCATAAGACAAACTACATAGGTCCTATAAGAATGCATAAAAGGTATGTGTGCCCGCTTATATATTTCATTTGACACATGATCTTCATTAACTTTTTGCAAGGCGCCTGCTTATTAGTTGACTTATACATTTTATGAATAATCAGCAATAGAAATTTGCCAAAAGATATAAGGAGATTTCCATCCGTGCAGCAAAGGAGGATGATGTATACAGTTTTAAACAAGCGGGGAGGGGGCTGATATGATAGAACAATCGAACATGCGGTTGTTATGGTTTGGAATTCCATTCATCTGTCCGAGTCTTGCAGTGCAATAGGCATCCAGCAAGTTATAAGACCAAATCACAAATAAGGGAAGTGCAATCCAATTTAATTAATTAACCACCACTCCACTAGAAATTTTAATATTATTTCAACAACATGCTCACTGTTATACCTTTTGCTGAAATGAGCTCTTTTTCGCATCAGTTGAAACCAGGGTTACTTCCACTCACTTGCTATAAAAAGATGTTTTTCGGAATTATGAAATCGTGAAATAGTATAATGCTAATTAGTACTTGTTTTTTTACAAGAAGAGGTCATGAAGTATATGTTTGACACATAAAATCTGTCAATATTGCTTTCAGTGCGTCACAATCAGCGATTTTACGACTCGTGAGCGCTCACTCAGAGTGAACGCTCACGAATCCTAAGATCGCTGATTGTGACGCTCTGAGAACGAAATTGACAGGTTTTATGAGTCAAACACATACTTTACACCCTCTTCCTATTACTTTAAAGTAGAACATACCATAATAACATCTAATGATTGCATAATTCCGAAAAATATTTTTTTATAGCAAGTGAGTGGAAGCAACCTTGGTTGAAACTAGAAAGGCTATATTAACGAAGGAGGTGGCACCCCTATCTCTACTAATAACAAGTAGCGGTAGCGAGCATAGGCAAGGACCCACGCTCTGGGACCGCTAAGGTTTTTGTGTGATCACGTTTTTATGCTGGCTACGAAAAGAAGGTGGCATTTCAGGCCCTTGATATTTACGCACACATTTTTTTTTTCTCTGTTCGGGACATAAAACCACTGCGACCAGTAATTTGATCTATTGTAGTATATCCCGTGTCCTTAGTTTAGTGCATGTCGTATTACTCCATCACTATTGAGAAATAATGAAGTATTCGGTTTTGATACAGTTGTCATTCTTGCCTTTATCGCAAGGAATCGACTCTAATTGAAAGGTCCCGCTATTTATACTCTTCGGAGTGTTGAAACACCCTCCAAAGGCGCGCCCATTTTGTCAGTCAAAATTGGATTCCTTAGCAAAAAAAACAAGACATGACACCGATAATGACCATGCATCAGAACCCTAGTCTTAACCACTTCAAACTAGGAAACAACGAATAAAAGATTAGGAATCACATAGGTGAAGACTAACTAACTCATTTTTTCCTTGTTTCAAGATCATCCTCGGTCCAGGCAACCCGAGGACTTATCACTATCAACAAGGCATAAAAAGTAACAAGGACTAAGATGTGTTCCTTTGATTACTGTAAAATCCTGTTCCCCTAGTTTGAAGTAGTCAAGACTAGGAATCGGTGGTAGATCTTACATCCCGTAACGTACCACGAAAAGGTGATCTACCCACGTTACGGGGTATTACGCACACATAAACTACAGACTTCAGATTTCATTTTGAATATTAAATTAAGCATATTAGGCAGAGACAACTAAAGTATCATTGATTATTTAAAGATTTTTTTTCACCATTTCATAATTTCACTATACATTTTGTTGAAGCTCGTGCGATTGCCTTACTAGCAACTTGCAAATAAAATCGCTTAATTTGTTCAATTGGATTGAAATAACGAGGAAAAAAAACGCAAACGAAAGTGGACTGTATTTGAATACTTAATCGTTCATAGAATGGTTATTGATAATCTTATTGTGTAAACTCATGTCCGCACCGCTGCTATTTGTTTTTGTCAGCAGCACTCTGCGATAAGATAAGCTCAAAAGTTGTAGTTTTCAACGTGCCATTAGCACCTTCACTGTTAGAGTTTATCACCTTCCTGGCTTAGTTTCGAACTTGACCTTGATCTTTCCGCAGTTGTTATCAGGCGGAATCGTTCCTAAAAATAAGAAAATGTACTATTTATTTAACTTAAAAGCCTTACCTCCGCTAGTCTGAGTTCAATGCACTACTGACGACCGACAAACTTTGATTACAATCCCAGCTGTCAAAATGAAACATTTCGTCGGACCACAGTAGATTGCCGATTCGAGCAGTTTTATTTCCAGCCCACATCCACTGTGACAATTCAGCTGACCGTCGCAGAGAATGATATGCTCCAATCTGTGCAGTCGCAGTTCAAACAAACTCTCTCGTTCTCCCGTCGATCACAACTACAGATGCAACCGGACCAAGTGTTGACGTTGCTCTTTTCCTCCCAGTTAGTAGGCAGGTAGTTGATCCCATTGGAAAAGCACAAACCACAACACACCAGGAAGACGGTTCTGACAGTTCGTTCATCCTTGCCACTGTTTACACTTGAGTCAAGCGTGGAGCGCGTGAGAGTGAGAGAGAGCAGATCCATCCGGACGGAGAGTCCTTTTGTACACAGAATAGGTAATCTATGGTATGGTGATTCAAACTCTCGCTGTCGATGGCACGAATCTCGAGAGCGCGCGAGTGCTGGAAAATTCGCAAAATATTATCCTTCGAGACGAGTTCCCTGCTCGCACTGATGTTTGTAGTATGTTGTAGTCAGAAAGGGTCGGATGAGTATCACTGTGTTTTCTCGGTGCGCGACTAGAAAAAGGAAGTAGGATTTTTTTTCCTGCTGCCGAAACGGGGTAGTGTTCGAATCGGGAAAAGTGTGGTGCAAATTTGCAATCCTTTCCGGAAGGATTTGGTCCGGGGATTTCTGATGGTTGAGGGGTGATTTGCCATTCGGAAAATTGATAAGTGCAGAGTGCTCGCACAGAAAATGTCTACTATAAGTGAGCAGGTAACGAAAAAAGCAGTGCAGTGAAAGAGATAGAGAGTGGAGGAAAAAAGGAGTTTTGAGGATCGTTCTGAAAAGTGGCGAAAAATGAAAATGGATAAGCTCTCAAAACATAAGAATCCTTGGTGCGTTTTTGCTTCTAGTAGTGGGCCTGTGCAATGCTAGTAGTGGAAATCGATTAAAAGCCTTAGAAAGTGGTGTTGCAATGGAAGCAATTATCCTTGAGAAAGAGATCTAATCGGTGACGAAATTTGTGAGATGGAAGGCTGGTGACTGGCGCCCGCGCTGGAGAGTGGGATTTGAGTGAAGACGGAAGGAGGGTGTTATCCACCCACCGAGAGTTTTCGGCCGTTCGTTCGTTCGTTTGAGTTCGTTTTGCGCCGTACCTAGTTGATTGGAATATGCCATCCTATGCCAGCAGTGAGATGAATCAGGAATAATACGCTTCGAATCGGAAATGTTTTTCTTTTCCCCTCACAGATCCATGATGTATCACACTTCAACTCTTAATAATTTCCAATTTTCCTCTCGTGAAAACTCCTGAGAAAGGCAGCAAAGTTTTCATTTCTTCGTCCTTACCATCTTCCTGCTGTCTCCCTATCTTTTTCCTACCAAATGGTGCTTACACAACTTCTGACGAACGGAAGAATTTTTTTGTCATCATTCCAGTATCGGTTGAACTGCTTTTTTCTTCTACTACATAGCGAAAAGTTTAACTCTCGTGCAAAAATTCAAACAATGCTTCCTTGCTGACACCGAGCAATGGCAGCAAAAGGGGTTTATTAAAAAAAATTATAAAGCTCATTATTGGCACTGGTGAGATAACTCCCCGGAGGTTTTTTTTTCTTCTTTGAATTTCCTTTTTCTGCAGAGAAAATATCGTCGAGAAAGTTTGTGACTTTGTTGTAGAAAAAAGTGCGGAAAACATAAATTGCGTATAGACAGAACTTGATGTTAAAAAGCATTGAAGTTTGTGTTCGATTATACATGATTTTGTAGCATAATTTGCTTTCACACTCTACCGTTTTTGATGTACACCTTTAAATGCAGTTTCAAAATATACTTTTTTCAAAGTTGCACACTATGAAAAACACACGTACACATTAAATTTTAGCATAAAGTCGTGAAAATCAGTTCATTTGAACGGATTTTCCCCAAGCTGCTAGTTAACGAGAAACATTGCAAGTTTTATCAAGGTTTTAAAGCATGCTGCAAATGTGAATTGAGGTCTACCGAACCCTAATAAAACCAAAATTGTTACTTGCACAGCTTAAAAAAGTAGTGTAAATTTCCGTTACTATGATGCACATAAATGGACCATCATAAATGATTCAAGTTTACATTATAGATCGTGTAAATTTATAAGGAATGTCTTGCAATATTCCATATATTGTATGCAACTGTTCACCTTTGTTTGCAACATGTCTTGCAAGTTGCTAGTTTACGTGAAATGGAAGTTTTCACCATCAGTTAAATTTTTTTTTTTTGCGTGGGATATGTTTGTTTACCTTTCATCCTTTACGTCAAAAATTAATTCCGTCTTGTGTGAAATTCGTTTTTCTAAGTCTGAATTTCTCAATTAAGAGTTTTCTCAGGACTACATGTCTTAATTGGAAAAGATCGTTTAAAGTTCAACATAGCTTGATTATTAAATCTGAGTCTTAGCATTAACCCTTTGTAGATCGTGATTGTCCCTTTCACCAGGGCATGGTAATACCTTTTTTAGACAACAGACTTGTGACATGTTATAATAAATATCGACAAGAAGAATGTCATCGAGATAGCCTTATAACATGTTATAACGGTTAAAATCCAAGCAACAATTCAAGCTGAACACTAAGAGCTGAACACTAAGAGCAGAATCTGGTTATTGGTTGATTTAAGGAGTACAAAACTGATTAACATCAGGCTGAATATATAGTTGATTAGTAGTTCATGAAGCGAATTGTATCCCCATAATCCAACCTCAATAATTTAGCTGATCTTAAGGTTGAACAAGCCTTATTTAAGTTTAACTCAATACCACAAATCAGCAATACGTTACATATATTTTGATAGCTTGATTTGATAAATGTTGTCAGTGTCTGTGTCACTCGTTCCATTTCCGGCATTTAAGTTCTTCTAAATTAACTGCCTATATGTCTAATTACAAGTAGTGGCAGCAGTAGAGACAAGAAAGAGGAGATTTTTAGGAATAACTCCATGTAGATGTGGGCTGCGACGACATCGGAAGTATTAACATTTGTATTCCTGTGTTTTGTCTGTTATATTGCACTGAAGTTTCAGAAAGTACTGCACTTGAAAATGAGAAGAATGTTTTACTGTCATCCCTTGTTGTCTACAATTCTGCATTGCTGCATAATACTCTTCCGGTTGCTATTATTCAACTAAAATTTGAAGTGCTTCAAGTTAATGATCATACCTTTTGCCCCACATATGTTTGAATGGCCCATTATATATGATTGACGCTGTGAGTCAGTGACAGCCGGTTCAAATCTCGTAATGCAAAGGTAATTTCAAGACTTAAGTTAACAATATAAATATGTAAATCCAATTTGTCAGCAAAAAAATTGAAGCAGTTCCATATAAATGCATAAGATATGGAGCGATCTTCCATTATTATATTTCAAATAAAACTTGAAGGCTAAACAAGGGTTGGAAAAGACTGTTATTTAGCTTATAACGTATATTACTGTTAAGTTTTTGGCTGATTAAAATCACCAGATTTATATGTTTAAAAGCTGAGCTAAGGTTCACGTGGTTTATGTACAGCAGTTATTTAATCCAAGGCCGAATTAAAATCAATTAAAAAACACCTGTTACACATACAATTGTTAACTGGAAACTCCTCAGTCCGGCCAGTGTTTAAGCAACTTCTGAATCAGAATTGCAGTTGCATGCATTTTTAATTTGTTTTATTTTTTTATAGTTACTTTAATGCTCTTGGGTCATTTGTGACTTGTCTGGGGGAGAGATTTGAACTCGTGACTTTGGCTTGAGAGGTATGGATTCTACCACTAAGCCAGGGTCGGCAGGTGCTTTGAGGAGGTAAGCCAATTTATATGTTAGAATCTCAAGCCCTCTAATGCTTTTGATTTGGTCTTGTGCAGACTACCGGGAATGCTCTATTATTGACATTCTCCCCATGTTTGAGTGGATTCAGCGTCTTTGCTCTGTTTTTGCTTGATAGCATTTTCCTTTTTGATAATTATTATAGCAGTTTATAACGCTGTAATAATAAATACTTTATCTTCCGCTATCCAATAAGCCTCCACCAGAACGGGAGCCGCTTTCAGTTGTTTCATTGTTTGGCAGATTCGCCAACGGGGGTCAGAGCGCTTCCATTGCAGCAATGGACGCAAAACGTGGTCATCACTCACACATTCATCACGAAACGGTTGCTTTCCAAAGTCGACGACGCATCGACTGAAAGAACTGCTGATGAAGAACAATAAGAAGGACCAAACAATGGTTGCTGCTGAGTAAACAGACGATCGCATGACACACATTGAGATTTGTCTGCTTCTGTTGACAGCCGAGTGAACACTCCCTTTTCTTTTGAGATTAGGCGCCATGGCGGCAGAAGGGAGTTTCTCCAAATAGACTTCCAAGCAGATTACTATAAGAATCCGCATTATCGATGAGGAATTTTACCTCGAGTAGGGTTCAAACAAAGGTCGAAGAGGAATAAGAATTGAACAAGGTAGAAAATGCACAGGTTGTGTGTGTGTGTTTGTGTATTCCCTCTAACCCCCACTGGCCGGCAGTGTTATTATGGAAGAACTCTCTCTACAATGTCGCATTTATGGTCATTGTAGACAGCTTTAGTCCGGGAGTTAGAAGGTGATAGCTCTATTGCAGATCCAGCAACCCATTTCAGAATGTCTGGAGAGTCACGCCCATTCCGAGGTTACTTTCACTCACAATAAGCCACGCATGTATGTATCACCGTTATCAAATGGATATTGGTGATACATACACACTTCCAGGTTCGAAAATATTCTTTTCAACCCTGGCATGTATTTAGTTAAATAAATGGAAAGCTCTCACCATATTATGCTCTTCCGCCGTCGTTATTTGCTTCTTTTGGAATCCCTTGGACTTTTTCTCTAACGCTTCGTATTTCATTCCGTGCTTCACCGGAAATTTCCTTCCGTAGACCGTCCTTGGTTGGTTGGTTCTAATATGATTCCGCCTTTTTTGGTCGGTTTGATGTCCACCATATGTTATTGAATTGCCATGGTGATCTGGGACGAGGCCCACGTCCAATGTCACTGGTCCATCGAGCGCTCCGTTTGCGAAAGGAGAATGAAAGAAATACGAAAGGGATCAGTTTAAAGAAGTGACAGTTTCATCAGATTCCCCAACTAACCATACTCAAGCAAAGTAAGAATATACAAGCTATATTGCGACTATATGGTTACTTCGGTACTCATAAGGCCGTCAGAATGGTTCATCGGTTGCGAAGTGAAGTATTTCTGAAAGTGATGCGTAATATTTCTCAATGTTTTGAATTTATCCTAACGTAACCTCAATGTTATATCACAGACAAGCAGACACAACACATTGAACATTTATAATTGTAAACCCTACCGGCATCTGTCGTATACTTTGATGGGCTATACACTCAACAGATGGTTGTAGTGTGTAAACGTCAAACGCTAGGGAATTGATTATGTGCACCACAAATGGCAGTACTAGCAACAAAGAAACATTTAAATTGACCGTTAAAGATTTTGATGAACGTTTTAAGAGTGTTATGTCTGCTTTTCTGTGATTATACCTTCACTATCGCAACTTCGGGTGATATGCAAAAGTACTTGAATTTTTCTCAGGCACTTTTGATCTAACTGCAATTATTCTCTCATACTCGAAATGTGCCACGACCAAATTGGCACAACGACGCCCTATACGCTCTCTGACCGAAGCGCAGGGAGGTAGAAAATGCACAGGTTGTACTGAAAGTGCTGGTTAAATTTGTTGTAGCATTAGGTAGCAGTAAC